ACATATGTAAGCCAAAAAAAAAAAAAAAAAAAAAAAAAAAAAAGAAAAAGAAAAAGAAAAAATATAAAGCCATTAAATTTTTAATTACATAATATCATGTTTTAAAAAAAACATGCAAACTTTTTAATGAAAAAAATATATAATGAAAAATCAAATTTTTTTAAAATCAATTTAAAAATATGAAAGGTGTTTATATGCCAAAATTATATATATTTCAATTTGTTATATAAGAGCTAATTATAAAAAAAAAAAAAAAAAAAAAATGGAATTTATATATATTTATTTTGGTTGCCAATTACCTCCAACTCTTGTAATTATATTTTTCTTTAACATAATGTTTAGAATAGCTAAAACATTTTGCTGCGTAATTTTTTTTAATTTTTTTTCTGTTAATGTTTTATTTAAACCGTTTAAAATTAAAAAAAGAGGAGTAGATATATTTTTTCCTGGTTCAGTTTTCATTTTATTCATTCTGTCTGTTGTTATTCTTAAAATCTCTTTTTCATAAAATTCATAAGATTCGTCTAAATTCAAATCATCGAATGTTCTCCTTCTTTTAATTTCTTTTTCTTCATCACTTTCAGTTACAACATTATCTAAAAAATAGTCAACTGGTTCATCTAAAAAAAAAAATAAAAAATAAAAAATAACATAAAATAGTAATTATAATTGTAGATGAAAAAAAAGTATTATTATAAAAATAAAAAAAAAAAAAAAAATCATTATTGTAAATAAAAAGTAATTAAAGCAGTAAACAAAAAATAATATAATTTAAAATAATATGTGCTAATATAATTATTACTAATATTACTAATATTACTACTAAAGTTAAAATTGATATTTTTCTCATTTAATTTTTCATCTTCATTTACTAATGATTCTTTATTTACATTATTTTTATTATTAATTGAATTATTAATATATAGTAATAAATTATTTACATTTATTTTTTCTTTTACATTTTTATTAATTCTTTTGTTTTTTTTAGATATTCTATTAATTTTTTTTTTTTTTTCAGTATTATTAATAATATCGTTGTCAACTATATAGTTAGAATAATTTAAATAACAGTTATGATTACTATTATAGTTATCATTGTTGTTTTTATCATTACTATTATCCTTATTATCTTTATTATTATTATTACTACTATTATCATTACCATTATTATTATTATTACTATTACTATTATTATTATTATTATTATTAATGCTATTATTTTTAATATTATCAACATTATTATTATTTTTATTATTATCATAACTATCATCAATATTGTTATTGTTGTTTTCATTATTTCTATTATTATCTTTACTATTATTACATATATAACTACTAAAAAAGTTATGCATACGATCATTTATTAATCTATTCATATGAATTTCATTATTATTTTTTTCTTTTTTTTTTGCATTAAATTCACTAGTATGAATATAATTTTGCTCAATAATGTTATTAGATTGTGTTTTATTCTTATATGACTCTACAACATTATTTTCATTCAACAAATACTCTTTATTATTTATTCTAGTAGAATTAACTATTTTATTTTTATTTAATTTTTGTTTATCCTCTAAAAACAAATTACCTTCACTGTTTTTTGAAGAAGAAATGTAGGTTTTATTTTCAAGTTCATTTTCAGATTTTACAAAAGGAATGGGTTTGTTCATTTGTTCATTTTTATTTTCATCATCACTAAGATTATCAAAATTTGCAATACAATAGACATTAAATTGCATTGTTTTATTATTCTTTTTATTCATAATTTTAAGTGTACTTTTTTGTAAAAAATTTTTACGAGTTAATTTTTTTAAAGTTTCTTTTATGAATTTTTCTGATATATTTGTTTTTTGAATTAAATACTCTTCTGTAAATAGTAACTTTACATATACATCATTAATATTTTTATTAATTGCTATTTTTTCAATCTCCCTTTCTTCAATTTCTTTTAAAAAATTCAACTTATAATAAAAATTTTCTTTTGATATCTGTTTATTTAATGAATTTATATTATTTTGATTAGAATTACTGAAAGTATTTTTACTTGTATCATAAAAACTTTTCTCTTCTTTAATATCTTCATTTAAATGTTCATTTTTTTTTAATTTAGTATTTTGAATTTTTTCCAAAACATCATGTTTCTCTTCTATTTCAATATTTTTAATACTATTATTGTTTTTATCATTCATATTATAAGTGAAATTTAATGAATAATGTTCACTTAAATTAGTTATTTCCTCCTTTAAGTTGTTTTCTCCTGACTTGGTTTCATAATTTAAAACAATATTATTCCCTTTTTTATTATTGTGATTAACATAATTGTTATTATTTTTTTTTTCTTGTTTTTCTCTTTCTTTTTTTATTACTACCTCATCAAATGATTCTTTTTTAATATATTTCTTTTTTTTAGAATTATATAAATTTTTGGAATTTTTAATTATGTGAAAATCATATAAAATAATATTATCATTAACAATCATATGAATAGTTTTATTATCTTTATGATTATAATTGGATGAAATAAACATATATTCATAGTTGTATATATTACTATTAGTTTTCATATCATTATATAATAGATTATTTTTATAAATATCAATTGTATGATTTTCTAAGTTACTTAAAAATAAGAATAATAAACCTTCTGATAATTTAAGTGTATATATAAAATTATTAATATTTAAATCTATATAACACATATCATATATAAAAATTAGATATTTATTTCTATTTTTTTTTTGATATATATCATTAATTGAGTCAAAATATGTTTGTACAGAATCAGGTATCAATTTGTTTACAATTTGATCGTCTTCTTTTAAATTTTCTAACTTCCAATATTCTAAATTTAAAACTGTAATAGATATTTGAATTTCTTTACTTACAAATTCTTCTTTTATTAATGAATTATAAAATATATTCTTACTACTATCCTTCTTTGATAAATTAAAATTATCATCATATAATTCTAATTCATTTTCTTCATAATTTCTATACGTATTTTTCTCTTTTCTTTTTTCATCTTCTTTTTTCTTTTTCTCATTTTTTATGTTTTCGTCATACATACAGTTTTCTTCTTTGTCATTTATTTTTATATATTTATTTATATATGGTAAATTTAAATTATAATTGTGAAACATATCCTCAATAATATTTTTCATTCTTGTAAGTATAGAAAAGTTAAAATAATTCTGTAGATAATCAATAATAAATAAATCTCTTTTTAATATATAAATATCATTTATATCCTTTTTATTTATTCTATATTCTTCATCATCTGTGCTCAAATTATTATCTGTATAGAAAAAATTTTCTTCATGCTGTTCGGAAAAAAAATGATTATGATTTTTATATGTATTTAAATGATGAAATTCCTTTTTCAAATTATTAACAGTTTGAAAATTTTTATTATTTTCATTATTTATCTCTTTTTCATAGTTATGTAATTTCATATTATTACTTTTGTTAAAATTACTTTTTGCATTATTATTAATATTAAATTCATTTTTTTTTGTTTCTTTTTTTTTCATATTCTGAATAATTGTATCTTCTTCTTCTTCTTCTTCATCTTCTTCTTCTACTTCTTTTTTCATAATTATTTGGTCTAATTTTATACTATTACTTTTTTTATTATTATATTTATTATTTTTTGCAAACTCTTTATAACTATTCTCTTTTATTTTTTCATTTTTATTTAAATAAAAATCTCCTTTATTAGAGTTAGCAGTGTTACTTAGCATTGCAACAACATTGTGATTAAAAAATTTAATATAAGTATTTGCTTTTATTTTTTTATTTTTGATTGCTTTATAACTATAATAGCTGCTAAATTTATTACAGAATATGTAATTGTAATAATAATAATCATATATTAAATAATTATCATAGTTTTTATTTTTTCCATATTGTTTTCTAATATATTTCTCAAAATAAAATGTGTTTATATAAAAATAAGGATTCATATATATGTCACAAATATAATTATTAAATTTATTCAAAAATATATCTACTCCACCTACGATGCTTATATATAGTGGTATGAACATTATTTCTTGTTTACTTAACTTTTTTTTTTCTATTTCTCTCATTTTTCTTTTTTTTATATTGCTTTTATAATTAAACTCATGATAAGGCTTATATTTTATAAAACAAAATGAATTATCATAATTAAAATTCACGAATTTCTTATAATCTTTATTATTACTATTCACTTCTTCACTTTGTGTATTGTATAAATAATCATATTCATCGTTTTCATCAGAATTGTCATCTTTATTTTTGTTAAAATTTTTTATATCACTATTACTTAAAAGAGAAAGAAATTTATCACAATTCTGATTATTAATATCACTTATATTAAAAAAAAGTTTTTTTTTATTATCTTTATTATCAATTGAGCTAGAATTATAATTACTAGAACTACTATCATCATAATAAATTTCATTGATATTTATATTATTTTTTTTATCATTCTTTTTTTTTACACTTTTTTCAAAATGCATATGAGTATTTATAAAATCAAAAAACTCATCAGAGCTATAATTTTCTTCATACTTTTTACGTTTTTTAATGTTTAAATTATGATATTTCTTCTTATTTGGAATATTTATTTTTATTTTTTCATTTTCATTAATGTAGTAAGAATTAGACAAAAATTTTACTTCATTTTCAAGCTTATTATTTTCAATTTCATCATTTAAAAAATTTATAGATGAGTTTTTTTCATTTCTTTTATCATACTTATAATATGTATTATTATTGTTATAATATTCATAATATAAAAATCCATTAATATTAATATTCTGATTTTTATTATCATGATCATTCATGAAATTGTTATTACTCTTATTATTTTTGTTATTAATAAAAATATTACTTTTCTTTTCTTTGATTTCGTTTATTTTAATAGGCATTTTTTTATTTCCTTCATATTTATTGTTTATCTTATTTTTATTCCTTTTATTTTTGTTTAATTTACTAGATATGTATTTTACTCTTTCTTTTTCATATCTAATATAATTAACATTTCTTAAATGTTTTATTTTAAATATGTTATTATTATTAGAACTATTATCACTAGAATATATATCTTTATATTTTAAAAAAATATTTTTAATTGCTTCCTGATTTATATTTAAAGATTCCTCTTTTTTTATATGTGCTTCATTGATATTATTATTTAATTGAAAGAAATTACTTAATGAAAATGGATTTGTATATCTAGGAGCTTCATTATTATTATTCAAATAAATAAATCTCTCTAAATAATTTTTGTTAGTACTTGAAATATCCTCTTTTTGTGTGCATATAGAAAGGGAATTATTGTTATTCATATTATTATCTTCTATTTTTTCATTTTTGTCTTTTTGCAATAATTTTTTTGTGTATTTTGAAGAATTCAAAATGTGATTAAATATATGTAAAATAATTTTTGTATCATTAAAATATTTATTAAAGTATCTTTTCAAAAATATTTTATTTTCTATCTTTGCATCTTCATATATAAAAAGGAAAATATTACTAAACACATTGAAATGAAAATCATTAAATTTTTCTGAATATTTTTGAAGAAGTTTAAATAATTTTTCCATTTTACTATTTTTCACTTTCATTATTCTTGTCATTTTAACTAAATTTAAAATAAAGTAGACTATTTTTTCACTGTCTATATTTTTATTTAATTTTTCATTATATAACTTTTCTATTAGTAAATAATATAAATTTTTATATATTACAAAGTCTGAATTATTTTTTTTGTCCCCATAATTTAATAAATATGTTAAATGATAGGCAAATTTTATATCTTCTAATCCTTTTTTACAATATTTATAATTTGTTAATGCATCTATAATACAATTTTTTTTTTTTTCTAATAACTCTTTCAAATAACTTCTCATTAAATCATGCATAAATTCTATCCTTTTCAGTAAACCTGTAGAATCACTAGAGTTATATGTATATTCATCTTCATAATCTTCTTTTTGAATTAATTCATAATTTTTAAGAAAAAAAAAATTTTTATCATGATAATGCGAAAATAAGGAAAAATTAATCTTTGATAAATATAGCAATGATTTTATATAGTTTGTATTTTCTTCAATATTATGAATGTTTATATTGAAATATTTATATAGCAAAGTATTATTATTATTTAAGTTTAATGGTTCTTTTATATTTCCCTCAAAATTTTCATAAATACTATTATTATCATTATTATTATTATTATAAACAAACAAATAATTTTTACTTTTATTTTCCTCTAAATTTTTAGTATTATTTAAAAAGGCAAAATTATAATCTAAATAATAATTTAAAAATGTAACAAAATTAAAATGAAACCTGTTATTTTCATTTTGTTTATTTTTTTTTAAAGTTAGAAAAATTTTATCAACATATGAACTTATGTCGTTTTTTTCTTTTTTTTTTAGTATCCATAAATAATTATCTTTTTTGCTAAATCTATTATTCAAGTATATAAAACTTTTTTTTTGAATTTCATTGGTAGAATTATTTTTTTCTTTTTCTTTTTCTTTTTTTTTCTTAAATACTATATTATTAAAATTATTAAAAATATTGTAATTGTCGTTGTTACTCATGTTGATAAAATTTCCATCTCTTGTTCCATATATTATATCTAAAAAGGAATAAAAATAAAATAAAAAGCATATTAATATTTTTGGCAAATAATGCTTGTTATTTGAATCATATTTTTCTTGAATTTCTTTTAATTTTTCTTCATATAACTTTATAAAAATGTCTTTCAAAATATGATGTAAATTTAAATATTTAAAAATATCAGATATGACACAGAGATGAATATATTTTAAAGGAATACTGTTAGAAATATTTGAATTGTTAAAAATGTTTATTAATTCTCTTCTTTTATTTCTTCTAAATTCTTTCATATAATTTTTCTTAATTTTTGTATCGTTTGATTTCTTTATATTTTCATAATAATCAGAAGATTCTCTAATTTTATTGTTATCATTTATATTTTTTTTTTTGTTATTCATTTTATATATATTATTAAAATTTTCTTTAATCTTATTATTTGTTTTGTTATTATCCTTTGAAATTTTACATTTTAATGTTTCTAAACTGGTAGAATTGTATTTAAAATAATTGTTTTCCATGTTAAAATTTATTTTCGCAATACTGTTATTGTCATTATTAATACAGGTGTCATTATTATTATTTTTAGAATTATACTTGTTAGAATTATAACAATCATTGTTATTATCACTTTTTTTTATTTCTTCACCATTTTTACTTGATAAAAAATCTTCTAAATTTCTGTTATTATTAAATGAGTTATTTATATCATCATTTTTTTGTATGTAGAATATAGGATATCCATATACAAAGTTCAAAATTGAGTTTTTAAAAGAGTATTCATTTTTATTAATATAATGAAAAAATTTGAAGTTACTATCCAAGTTGATAATATCATAATCAACATTCTGATTTATGTTAAAATCAAATGTGTTAAATATATATGGGAATACATATTTATTATCATCTATAAATTTAATAACAATCTTTTTAATTTTTTTAATTTTCGTTTTTATGTTTTCATAATTAAAATTGCTTTCTATTTGATCATCTTCACACAATAATTTTCTTTTTCTATTTGTTTTTCTTTTTTTTTCTAAGGTAATATATAATTTAATATTTTCGTAATTTTTTAAATTGTTAGGATAAATAATTTCATATATATTTGATAGATGATCTACATGTTGTTCTTCATTGTTCATTGTTATTTTATTTTTTAATTTGTTTTCACAATATAACATTTTTTTTTTTTTTCTTATTAATTTATTTAAAATATTTTTTAAAGTACATTCTTCGTTATAAGTTGATAAATTATAAAAATGGTTGTTTGTATCATTTTCTAAAGAATTATTAGTATAACTATCTAAAATATCTTCAGTTGTGTAACTTTTATCCTTACTAAATAGTACAACATATTTTAATAATAACACAATATCTTTAGATATACTCATATCATGTATACCAAATTTTTCTAGAATTTTTTTTTTTTTTTTGTTGTACAAAAAATCATTTTCAATTTGATATTCATTTAAATTGCTAGATAATTTACTCAAAGTATTTTTTTTAACTATTTTTTTTTTACAGTATTTTTCATACTTTAAAATTAAGCATAGTAATATTTTGTATATAAGTATTTCATTATTGCAGTTATATATTTTTAATAGTCTAAATATCACATTAAATGCTTTTTTTATATTTCCTATTTTTAAACATACATTATTATTTATTAAATTAATATTTCTATTAATAAATTGTATTATATCATTCTTAACAAAAAACTTTAATTTTCTAACTAATATATAATTATTATAATCTTTTATAGACAGGCTATTTTTTGCGTTTAAATAATCAGATATATCTTCATTAACATTATTAAAATTATCATAATTTGATAAGGCGAAAATATGATAAATTAATTCTTCATTTTTAATATTAAAAGTATTTTCATTAGTATCAATGCAAAAATAATTATTAGAATGAGAAAAAAAATATTCAAGTAAAATAATAATGTCATCAAAATATTTTTTCAAATATGTATAAAAATATTCTTTTAAAATACTTAAATCATACATTAAATAATTTATTTTTTTCTTCTTTTCTTTATAATACTTTTTTAAATTAAAAAAGTTATAAAACATTTTTTTCTTTTTTTCTAATATCTTTCTATCTAACATAGAATTACATTTTACACAATTTTTAAATTCTTTATCATTTGAATTATAAAATAAATTTGAATTAAAACATTTTTTTTTGTGAAGCACTGTTTTATTTATATTATTAATGTGAGGTAAATTAGAATTATTATTCCTTGAATTCATTAATTTAAAATCGCATACATAATATTTACTATTTTTATTATGTAAATTGTCGTAATTGAAAATTTTACTATTTTTTTTGTTGGAATTATAATGTGTATTATAAATACTATTATTTGAATTGTTAATGCATAAGTTATTACCACTTTGCAAATCATAATTTTTGTCGTTTATATTATTATTTTGATTACTATTTATTTCATCCCTTTTATCATTTATATGAAGATTATCCTTATTATTTACTTCACTAAAGTAAGTAAAATTTTCAAGATATGTTTGTTTCGTTTTTTGTTTATTATTTTTATTAAAAAACGAATTTATTAAATTATCCTCAAATTTTGTTTTAATGTTATTATTTTCTTTCTTTGGTACATCAGAGTTACAAATAATGTCATCTATAGGAAATAATTTAGAATTAGAATTATAATTATTATTGAAATTAATATCTTCTTTTAATAACTCTATTTTTTCCTTCATTAAGTTTTCCACATTTACTTTTTCTGAGTTTTGTGAGGGAATACAATGGCATATATTGGCATAAAATAAATTTAGTTGTTTATTAATATTGTTTAACATATTAAATAAATTATTCAAAATGAGTACGTCCTGATTTTTAATAATTTTTAATAAGTCTACAAAAGTATTATAATATTTTTCATAATTTTCTAAGTTATTCTTCTCTATTGTTCTCTTTTTATCTTTCATTTTTCGTATCACCTCTTTATAAATAGTGTTTTTATTTTTTATAATTTCAGTAACCTTCTCTTTTATTTTTATTTTATTTAGTGTTTTTAAAAAGCAATTTTTATATACATTATGAGAAATATGTTCATTATTTTCAAAAAAAAAATCTGTTTTTCCACTTGAATTATAGCATAATTGAATTGATGAAAAATAAGAATAAACATAATGCCTCAATTTTCTCAAATATCTCATTCTTTTTTTTTTAATAAATAATCTCTTATTTATTTTTGTTTTTAAAATTGTTTTGGTTGATTTATTGATGCTATTATATTTGTCGTTAAATATTTTTGTTGACAATATTTTATTATAATCAAAAATTCTAAGAGATTCTTTAAGCCTCTTAATTATAATCTTTTTATTAATTTTTCCTGGAATTTTTAATTTCCATTCTTTAATCTTTTTATTTTTTAACGAATACTTTTTCTTCAAATTTACTAGCAAATCTTTATTTGAAAAAAATTGGAATGAATAAAAATTTAATGAATGTAAAAGGAAATTTTTTTTGAGAATATTTAGATATTTTGAATTAGTAACATTCTCACAATTTAATTCCCTTATTTTACCTTTATATTTATTATATACATCTAATAAATAATTAATAATAGGTTTTACATATTTTTTTTTTTCTATTGTATACTTAATTAAACTTTTTATTTCTTTTAATATTTCTTTATATTTCTCGATCTTCAAATAATTCAAAATATTATTGTTATTTTTTGTTTGTTCATCATATTTATTTTTTAACAACAATTTTAATAAATGAAAAACTACTGTATCCAATTTCTTCTCAGAAAATGAATAATCACTGTAGCTTGTATATGTATGAAAGTTTGATTTTATATACTTATTGTTAGTGTTATATTTTGTATCGTAATTGTTATAATTTTCATGTGTACAGTTAATGTTATTTATAATATTGTTATCATTATTGCTTTCATAACTATAATAATTTACTTTGTCTACTTCGTTATATTTCGAAAATGTATTTACAGTTGTATTATCATTTTTATCAAAGTTGTTTAAATAATGTATATTAATATCCTGGTTATATGGTTTTCTTTTTTTAGAAGAATTGTTTATTATATGGTTGTAACTAAATGTACTTTTTTTAAAACTTTCATTATTTTTCATTATACTATCATTTTCAATCTGTTCATAATTTTGCATTCTTATTTTACATTCTTCCTTATATATACATTCATTTATTTTTTCATACAAGGAAAAAATTCGAATGGAATATAAATCTACATCTTCATAAAGTATAGATAATAATTCTACTGAAAAATTTAATAGAAGATAAAAACGGGTTATTGATTTTAAGAATATGTTATCATAACTGCTTAAATATATTTCAATTTCATTAACATTATAATTTTTAATAGTATTATTGAATAAATCTTTAAATATGAATTCCTTATCTAAACTTTCATTTTTAAAATTGTGATTACTGCTTGTTATTTCTTTTTTAATATTTTTATTAATTTCGATTATTTCCTTCTCTTTAATGTTCTTTTTAGTTTGGTTTTTTTTTATAATTTGAATATAATCGTAAATGGAGTCATAGTATTTTTTATTGGATGTATTTTCTTCTTTTTCCTTCATCCTTTTATATGAATATTTGTAATCAAATTCTGTTAAATATTTCACATTTATTATATCCCAAAATTTTTTTACTTCTACATTTTTAAAATATTCTTCGATCTTACATTTTATGTAATTAATTATGTATAAATCAGTTATGTCATCATCAAATAATTTTGAATAATGATTACAATATTCAGATAAATAAGGATTTACACTATTTATTTTTATTTCTTCACATGAGTTTCTAGAAAAATCGCTTATTTCACCTACGGATATTTTTATATCCTTTTTTTTTTTATTATATTTTAATTTATTATTATTATTTAAAAAATATTTTTCTTTTGGGAGAAAATAAACATTTTTAAATGTATTGGATTTTTCATTATTAAAAACTATATCTTCTAAAGTGTTCAGACATTCGTTTATACTATATCTACTTTTCTCTTCACAAATATATTTGTCTTTCAAATAATTTACATGATTATCTTTCAAAAAATATTTTTTTATTTTATAGTTTTTTTTATTATTATTATAAATAGTGATTATATATTTTATTCTATCACACCATGTTTTTAAAATATTTGGTAAAAATTCATTTTCATTTTTATCTTCTTTGTTAAAATTGTGTGCAAATTTTTCCTTAAATTTTTTATTTATTACATGTTCAGAATTTTTTTTATTTAACTCACTAAAATTGATTATGTTCTTTTCTTTGCATATGTTATTTTTATTATCTTTCAAAATACAATTTTCGCAAATATTATTATAAAAACTAAAATGAAAAGGATAAATAATTTTATTAAAGGATAAATAAAAATTATTTATATTTTTGCCAATATTTTTTAAATGAAAAAATAAATTATAAACAAAAAAATCTATTATTAGGAGAATATTTTTGCTATTTATATGATTATTAAAGTTATTATTAATATATGGTATGTTTTTATCATCTATATCAACAAAGTTTCCAATTGTTTCTGTATTTAATTCATATTCAAATAAAAACTCATTTGTTATATTTTTCTTTTTCCACTTGGTTTCATTCTCATCACTGCTAATGTAAAAATTAGTAAATTCATCGTTAATTTCTCTTTTTAAATTGTTATTGTTGGTATTCAAAAAACATGAGTTTTCTTTATTTTTAGACTTCGATATGTTGCAGAATAATTTTGTTTTTTTATTTTTATCATAATCGATACAATTCATATGTTGAAAAAGAAAAAAAAAAAAAAGAAAAGAAAAAAATTAAAGTACAATAAAAACAATTATCTTGTTAGTGATATAATATTTTTTTTTATATAGATATTTCATTATTGAAGTATATTCTTTTAACTTACCCAATTATATTTTTTACATATTAACATTTATATATTTGTTTTAATTATTATTTTTCTTCACTTTTTTTTTTTAACATTTAAAGTATGTTATATTTTCTGGTTATTATGTATTTTATTTTGAGTATTTCATGAAATCTTGAAATTTTTTTTTTTTATAACAATGAAGAAATATTTAAATTTCTTAATTTTATTTCATCTTAAATGTTCTATATATAAAATTATAACAATTTTCCATTAATTTTCAAGAATATTTTATTATTAATAAAGTTTCATATATAACCCTACAACTATATTTTATTCTGGAAGATTTAAAAAAAAAAATTATATATAAAGTTTTTTTTTTTTTTTTTTTTTTTTTTTTTTTTTTTTTACATATATTTCTTACATTTTTTAAAAGTTTATGTATTTCAAATATTTAAAAAAATAAGGCTAAGTGTATTGTTAGTTTATGTAGTTTTCACTTAATATAAAATTGCTTATTGATTAATGCTGTTTAATTTAATGGTATGATTTCAATATTTTATTTTTATTTTTCATAATACTTAAAAAATGATATAAACAATAACTTATCTGTTTGTTCAGCATATGTTTATATAAACTGATTTATTTATTATTTTTTTTTTTTTTTTTCCTTTTGTATTATTTATTACAATTTAAAAATTCTAACAATATTTAGCTTGTATTAATAATATCGATAAAAATTAAATATTTGTAAGAATAAATATAGTTGTGTGTCTCCGTATTCAAAAAAAAAAAAAATATTTATAAATTTGTATTACATATTTTTATTTGTCTAAGAAATACATATTATGTTACTTTTTTTTCTTTTTTTTTCAACAGAAGCAATATTGGGTATGCAAAAATTAAAGATTCTTGCAAAAATAAGCATTTTATATTAATGAGATTTAAATTTAAAATTAATTTAAAATATTATAAATGAACATTATAAAATATTCAATAATTCTATTTAAAAAAAAAAAAAAAATATAAAAAAAAAAAAAAAAAATAATAATAATAATAAAATTTTAAAAAAAGAAAAATTTAAATTTAAATTGAAAATTTTTTTTGGTTATTTGAAAATTAGTAAAAGAATTTTATCTTTTTTAATACAAAAATTTTTATTATATATAAGTATCCCTTTTTTAAGTTAAAAAATATGTGCAATATAAAATAGTATAAAGAAAAAAATCAAAATTTTTTCACATATATATATTTTTTTAATGTTAGCAAAATATATATGTATTAACAAAAAAAAAAAAAAAAAAAAAAAAAAATTACATAAGATACTACAAGAATAATTTTTTTTGGGTTAATTTTATTATAATGAAAAGTAAAAATTGAATATCATTTTTCAAGAATATATTTTTTTTTTTGTAAATAATACCATGTTTCCAAAAATATCTAATATATTTATGTATTTTTTTTTTCAGTTACCTTTTCAATATGTTACACAAAAACTATTTTGATTTTTTGAAGTATTTTTTTTTTTTTTTTTTCAGAGAAATTAATTTTATGACCGTTTTTGCTATTTTTTTTTTTTTTTTTTTTTAATTAGTGCAACATCATATTGATAGACATGGATTTTATTAAAATATTCTTATAATATTATATAATATTTATTAAATATATATATACATAATATAAAAGAAACTATAAAAAATATTAAATACTTATTGAGATTAACATTGAAAAGACATGAATATAAATTATAATTTTTTTCTTTTTTCAATGAAGTAAATATTATACTGAATATTTTCTTTTGAACAATGTAAAATATTATATCCCAATTAAATATTTATTATTATGTATTAAAAGAGTTAAATGTGAATAAAAATTTATTTTTTAAAATTGCATATTTCTTTATTATAATATACTTTTATTTATTTGAATAAAAAATATAAATATATGCATACAATAATATTTATTTGTATATTCTACATAAATTTTTTTTTTTTCATAAATTTTCCTTTGTTAGAATTCTTGAAAAAGCATGTAGCACATAATTTAGAAACTATGTAAATCTTTTATGAAATAATTTTAATACACATTTTATATTTTACTTAACAATATAAATTAAAGAAATATAAAAAATATATGTATACTGTTTTTTTATAGATTTTTTTTTTTACTATTATAAATTATTAATATTAAATTTATACATATATAAATGTGTATGTATAGCATAGGCAGATGTAGTGCCTTTTGAATGTTTTCTTAAAATTAATAAATTTTATTAATAAAACAATTTAAATATAATTATAATAAATATATTATAAATTTAAAAAAAAAAAAAAAAAAAAAAAAAAAAAACTAATAGAAAGATGAATTACAATAATAATAATAATGATGGGATTTTAAATAATGAAAATAATACTAATTCCTTTTTGAGTAATTATGAAAATATAAGAGTTTCAAAACATAGTTCCGCTGAAGAAATAGCAGAAAAATATTTAAGAAATAAGTTGAGTTATGAATATAAATATATAAATAAAGGAGATTATAAAAATATAAATAGTAATGATTATTATAAAAAAAATATTGATATATCAGATTATAAAGATTTAAATATATCTAATTATGCATGCAATGATGAATTAAATTATTTAACTAATAAAAACAATTATTCAAATTATGATAAAATATGTAACTTAAATTATGACAACAATATAAATAAGGTATCCTCTATTTCTGATGTTGTAAATAATAGTATTCATGGAGGTTATTCTAACTCAAAAAATGATGAAAAAAAGGTGTATAAAAATTTACTTTTAAATCCTAATAATGTATCTGAGTTAATTTTTCCTTCTAATTCTATTAATAAGGATGAATTGAATAATTTAAATAAATTTAAAAAAGAAAAAGAAGATAATTATTTTATGAAAAATGATTTTTTAAAATTCGAAAATAATAATAGGAACTATAAAAAATTGGGAAATAAAGAAAAGATTAATGTAAGCAATATTGATGAATTGTTAGTTAAATATAATAATAATAATAATAGTAATAATTCATTAAAATATAAATATAATATAAATAATTCTTATGTTCAGAATGAAAAAGGAAGAAAGGAAATATATGACAAAACTATTTTTACAAATTCTTTTATAAATAGAACAGATATTAGTAATAATGGTATAAATGATCATAATAATTATTATTATAACAATAGAATTAATAAATACTATTTAGACGATGAATTGTATAATAGTAAGAAAAAAAACTTAATTAAAAGAAATAAAGATTATGTTCACTATTTAAGTAAAAGAAATAGTATATTAAAAAGTGAATTGGTAGTGAAAAAAGATTTAAAAAAAAAAAAAAGTGTCCCTATGAATTCTGATAATACATATGGAAAAAATAAAACTAAAACTAACAGATATAGTAATAACTCATTTTTTAGCTCTTTTTACAAAAATGAGAAAAACAAATATAATAATGAAGTAGAATTATTTAAAAGTATAAATATCTTTAATAATAATAACATTAAAAATAATAATACGATAAATTATGAAAAAAAGAAATATAACTTGAATAATACAAATGTTTCGAATTTTTATCATTCAGTTAAAAAACCAGTGAATATAGATAATATAAATAACGATATATTTGACATAAGTTTTTTGAAATCAACATATTCAGATTCAAGTAAAATTATTGATTCTCCTTTAAATTACGACAGTGTAAATTTAAGTGCATTAAGTACAAATATTAAAAAAAATGATGAATCATTAGTTAATAATTTAAACATTTCTGCATCTCATTTAAATAAAGAAAGTATAATTCATTATAACGATTTGGGTAACAAATGTATAATAGATAATTCAATATACAGTGAGAATAGTTTAGAAAAAAATGAAGGTATATTATCAAGTAATATTAACTTTGTAAATTTTTTGAATTCTAACAATAATATGAAAAAAAATGTAGATAATAATACATTTTTAAATAAGTCTACTTTTTTGACAAAAAATAATGAAACAATAAAAAAAAGTAATCCTTTTGTTATAGAACCAGAATTTTCATTAAATTACTTTCAGAATAAAAATAACATAAGTGATCTATATATAGAAAATGAGAAATTAAAAAATTTAAATGATACATCGAGGTATATAAATCAAAAAGAAAAAAAAAGCTATTACTCTTGTGATTTAACTAAAAATAACTTAACAAATAAAAAAAATAACTACTTAAACAATACAAATCTTATAAATATAAATAAAATTAGTACAAATATTAATGTATGTAATAAAATTAAAGAAGTAAATAATGAATATATGAATTCTAACATAAAGAATAATATTAGTAATAGCACATATGAAAACAAAAAAAATAATTTTCTTATTGATAGTAATTTGATATGTAAAGATGGAAATAAAAATAAAAAAGATAATAATCATAATTTAAAGGTATATATGGATGATGTGAATAATGTAGAACAAAAAAATAACGTTTTCGTTGATAATATAAATAATAGTAGATTAAATTCTTTATATTTTACTAAAAATAAACTAACCAATATATTTAATGATAATATAAAAAAAAGTCATTTATTAAATAATTTTAATAATAATAATAATAATAGTAATATATATGCATTAAACAGAAAAAAAGGATATGTGGGTAATAATAATAAACAAATTGAACAAAACAGACTAAAAATATATAATAATACTGCAACAACAACTACTACTACTGCTACAACTAATACTACTAATAGTAATATTAATAATACTACTACTACTACTACTACTTCAATTAATAATACTACTACTACTTCTAATAATAATAATAATAATAATAATATTATTCATGTTAATAATTATCCAAAAAAAACAAGTAAAGAAAAAAATAATTTAGATGAGTTGAATAATATAAATAATTATCAAGATTATTGCAAATATATTAGTGATTCAATTAACTGTATACCAATAAATATTAAAAATATGAATATTTTATTAGCGTTAGCTTTGTATTTTCTAAATTTTAATATAAACAATAATTCTACAAAAAATGAATTTTCAGATGTAATATTAATAAATCTTTTAAATAAATTTTTATATTGTTTGAATTTAAAAACATGTTTATTAAAAGAAAACAAAATAAATTATAATGAAAATAAATATTACTATATACAAATTAAACTGAATGATAATTCTAGTAATAATACATTAACTGATGAAAAAAAGAATGAATATAAACATGGAGAAGAAAAAGATATAAAAAATGAAGAGAACAAAAATAATATAGAAAATAATTCAGTGAAAACGGAATATAATATTAACTTTTTTACTTTTTATAATAAAAGAATAGTTAAAAATAAAAATGAAGAAATAGAAAGTGTATCAACTAAGTGTGTCAATAATAAAAATGACAATATTACTTACAAACATAATGATAATGATAGAAAAAAATGTTTTTATTTAGATGAAAATATGAAAATAATTAGTTTAATAGATATATATAAAATAGCATGGAGTTTATGTGTGTTAAAAAAAAATATTTTGTATATTGATTTATTAAGGATATTGTATAAAGAAGTAGAACATATGGATATAGAAAATGAATTAATTTTTTGTATTACTTATATCTTTAAGTATTGTAATATAATTGAAATAGAAAAATGCAAAACATATTTGAATAATAATATGATAATTAATATAGAAAATAACAATAATGAAAATTTATGCATGTATTTACATTTGTTACATATATGCTCTTTACATGATGAAAAATATACAAATAATGATCATAAAAAAAATATTGATAAAATTATTAATTATTTTTGTAATCAAGTAGAAAATTTAAATTTATATATGTGCACAAATATATTATGCGTTCTAGCAAATTTAAATATAAAAAATAATGATTATCCATATTTTTTTAATAAAATGATGAATTATTTCAGAAATAATATTAAAAAATTAAATAAAAGTGTGTTGCTTGTTAATATTATGTGGTCTTTATGCATTTGTGAAGTAATATGTACAGAATTTTTAAAAGATATAAGTGAGTATATTATAAATATTTTGCATTTTATTCCTTTATACGAATTTATAACTATTTCATGTAGTTTTAGTTGTCAGAAAATTTTAATCATAAAAAATTATTTTGAAAATTTAAAGAAGACAAAAGATGTAAAACAAGAACAAAAAAATATGATAAATATTTCAAAAGAATCCTTAGATGAATATAAAAATTATGAATTACTAATTAATGAATACTATAAAAAAAAAAAAATTTTTCCATATTATTTTTATAGAAAACCAATATGCCAATCAATAATTTTTAAAATTTTAGCTTATAATTTTTTGCAATATGAGCAAAATCATGTAATTAATAATAATAAAATTAATAAAAATTACTTTTACGATTACAAAAATACAATTAACAATAATAATAATGAAGCTTTACTTGATTTAAATAACACAATTAAAAAAACAAATAGAAGCTTCAGTGTAGAAAATAATAAAGATAGTATAAAAAAAGAAAAAGAAGGAAATTCTGCAAATTCTAGATTTAACAGTTCTAATATATATAGAAATATAAAAAAAAATAATACTAATTCTGAAGAATCATTTTCCTTTTCTTCATCTTCTTCTTTTTATAAAAATAATGATAAATTTCATGATAATAAAAGTGAATATATAATAAATAGCTGTAATGAAGAAAAAAAAAATAATAATAATAGTAGTAGTAATAATGGTAGTAAATTAGACAATATTAATAGTAATCTATTGTGTCCTATAGATAATTCTGATAATATTATAGTTAATAATTTAAAAAATAACATAAATAAAAATAAATATTTTAAAAAACATAATGAAAAAAAAAAAATAAAAGAGTATTATAACATTTATGATAATAATAATAATTATGAGTACCATTTAAATTCTTGTGAACGTATTTTATTTGCAAATTTAATTGAAGATTGTTGTAACAACTTTGAAGAATTGAATTCTGTTAATCTTATTGAACTTTTATATACCTTATGTATATTAAATTTAGACAAAAGTAAAATCGTTAAATTAGTAGAGAAAAAAATAGATTATAGTACTTTTAATGATAACTATGAAAAGTTACAAAAAAAACAGAAATATTTACATAAAAGATCAGATAAAGAAGTGATAAATGAAAGGAATGATTTAATTATTTTAAATTATATCTATAGGAAATTCACAGAAGAACATATAGCTAACAACAATGATAATGATTATAATTTTTCCTTAATAGCGGATAATATACATTTTTGTAAATATATAAATGATGATATATTTTTAAATATTATTAAAGGAAATAAAGAAAGTATAAATAAAAGTACTTTTTATAAGTTAAAAAATATTTTAAATGTTGCAACGTATAAAGAAAAAGATTTAGACAAGAAAAAAAACATAAAAGAAAGTGTTTCTTATTCTTCTGTAGAGAATGATATTGTAAAACAATTAAAAGGAAAAGAAAAAGAAGAAAATGTGAGAAGTAGTGAAGAGTTTCAAATAAATAACCAAAATAAACAAACAGATACAATACAAAATAATATTAAAAATAAAACAGATCAGAATAATAATTTCATTTTAAATGAAGAAAAAGATGGAACTCATAATTATAAAAATCATCATAACGTTTCTTACATAGATGAAATAACAAATGATAATAACTATGATAATATTACAGATAATTATTATAATAACAAAAATATACAAATTTATAATAATGTTACAATTAACAAGGAAAAGGAAGTATGTAATAATATGGTTATGTATAATAATGAAAATATTTCAGTAGAACATTATGAAAAGAAAGATGAGAAAAATCATATTATAAATAATTCAAATGAGTTGTATTTAAATAATGAAAAAAAAAATAACTTATATATTGCTAACAACGAATTGAAAAATTATGATGAATGTATTGAAAAAGAAAGTGATGATACATCACGACAATTAAATGAATTGAAAAAGGATTTAAAAAATACTTATGATGTTGCAATTGCATATTACAATAATAAAACAAAATATAATATGATAAATAATAATAAAGACAACACATATAGGGGAGGTGAGGAAAATGAAGACATTATTAATTCTGAAATATACAATCATATAATTACAAAAAGAAATATCAAAAAAATATTAGATAACCATAAGCAAAATCAAATTTTAGAAGAAAAAATTTTAAAAAAGAATTCTAAAGAAAAAAATGACTTCGAAAAATGTAGAAAAAACAATAATTTTAATTTTTATAAATTATTTATATTAGTATTAGAATTTTCCATATGTTCATTGAAAAAAATTAACTTTTTTGTTTAATATATATATATATATATATAAAGATGTAGTATTTATTTATTTTTTTTTTTTTTAAACAGTAAAAAACATACTTATTTAATATAAAGATATTTTAGTTATATTTCACATCAAATATATTGAAAATATATCTTAAAATAACAAGTATATTCAATTTTATTTTTTTTTCATTTTATCTTTGTTTAAATTTGATATGTATACATTTTTTTTAAACATAAAAAATGATTTAAAAAACAGATAAAAGAATAAATAATCTCTTTAATTTTTATATTATTTAAATAATTATGAATATAAGAAATAACAAAAATAGGAATCTTTGTGTATATATTTTGCTATTTTTTTTTTTTTTTTTAAATCAACAGTTTTGGTACTTTTTTATGCATACTAAAATTTTCCTTTTTTTTTTTTTTTTTTTTCTTATTTTTTTTTGTATTAAATATTCTTAAAAATTTTATATACTTTTTTCTTAAAAAAAAATTTTATATTATATTTTTTTAAATGCAATTTACGTAAGATCTCTTTTTTTATTATTTTTTTTTTAATTAGTATAAAAAATGTCAAATTTAAATTATTCAAGAGTTCCTGCTGGCACTTTTATTGAATTTCAGGTTGTTATTTTAACTAATGATGAAAATAATTTTACGAATGAATTATGTGATAATAAATGTAAAGCGTTGATAAAAATATGTAATAGATGTATGATTTATTATATAATTAAAAATATAATTGAACAGAAATTAAAATACATAACAATTGTTGTTAATGGAAAATATTATAATGATATGGTGAACTATATAAATGAAGCATTTCCAGATAATTATAAATTTGATGATAAAAAAAGTAAAAATAATTACTGTATAGATATAGAATCTTATTCTACAAGTGATAATGAAGATATTGGTTCTGTTCAATGTTTATTACAAATAAAAAATAAAATAAAAGTAAAATGATAAATATAATAGAGTTAACAAAATATTTTTAAACTTATTTAAATATATATTCATATTTTTTTTTTTTTTTTTTTTTCAATATATTCAGACAGATTTTATAGTTGTTAGTTGTGATATTTTAGGATTTGTTGATTTTCATTCATTAGCAAGTATTTTTTTTTTTTTTTTTTAGATTAAAAATTTATGGACTTACTTTTTTATTATTCATTTTATTTTTTTTTTTTTTTCTTTTTTTTTTTTGCAATTTGTAATAGATTTATTTAGAGGAGAAAATGCTATGTGTGGAATATTGCTATTGGAGGATGATCAAATAAAAAGCACAGAAAAAAAAAAAAAAGAAATTAAAGATGAATATTTAAATTTAGAAAATCATGTATGGGTGTGTATAGATAAAAATAGTAGAGTTGTTAGTATAAAAGATTCTTTATCAATGAAGCAAAATGGGAAATTAAAAATAAGTAAAATAAATTTATTACTTCATAAAAATTTTCTTCTTAAAACAGATCTATTAGATAGCCACGTTTATATTTTTAAGCATTATATTTTAAATATATTAGAACATAAAGAAAAAAAATTCACCAGTATAAAGGTATTTTACATAATAAAGAAAATTCTTTTAAGTGATTTAATTTTAAAATTATTTTAGTTGTTTCTTTTAATTCTTTATTTTCTTAATTTTATTTTATTTTATTTTTTTTTTTTTTTAGTATGACTTAATACCTTATTTAGTAAAAATACAAAATACACCAGTATCATCAAGTAATAAAATATATTTTTTTTTTTTTTTAAATTATTTTATTGATTTTATTTATATATAATTTATTTTTTTATTTAAAAAAAATAAAAAAAAAAAAACAATAGGATATTGTAAATCTGAATTTAAATTTAATATGTATAATACTTTAATTGATAAATATGAAGGTACAAATGATAACGAGATAAAAAAAGTATTACCAATAGCAGATATCATTGATAACGTAATAATTAATATTTCAAAAAAAATTACTTGAGAAAATTAAGTTACATTAATTTACATATTTTACTTTTTTATTAGCATGAAAATGTTGAAAGTGTTGTTTGTTATGTACAACCAAAAACTACAGGATTTTGTCAGAGGATTAATAACATACCTAATTTCTTTAAAGCTAATCTACTTGTAACTTTTAAAAAAAAAAAAAAAAAAATTAATAAAATAAAGTATCTTATTCTTCTTATTTTTTATTGATTAAAGTAAATTTTACTAGTTTTTAAGATCATTTTGTCATACTTTTTTTTTTTTTTTTTTTTTTTTTTTTTTTTTTTTTTTTTTTTTTTTAGTTTTGCGTTACTAGACATGATCAACTAAAGAATGTTTTGCCTCCTTATTGTTTTTTTCTCTTAACAGAAAAAAACCAATCTGTACCAAAAAAAAAAAAAAAAAAAAAAAAAAAAATTGAATAAAATTAAGAATTAAACATTTTTAAAATATATTTATTAAAGTAAAATTATAAATTAATTTTTAAATTTTGTTATTTTATTTTTTTTTTTTTTTTTATTACAGTATAGGGATTGTATAATTAGTAGCCATTTTAACCATGAAGAAAATGTACTTTTGAAAAAATCAGTACTTGGTATATTTTTTTTTTTATTTTCCTTTTTGTGTATTTTTCTTTTTTCTCATTTTTATTGTTATATATTCCTAGATATATAACTATTAGTATTTGTTTTTATATTTTGTTTTCATTTTTTTTTTTTTTAATAGGCAAAAATATTAAAATAAAAAAAAATACTTCTATTTTTAGAAGTATCTTAATGGATAATATAACAATTAATGAAAATTGTGTAATTCAAAACTCCATTATTTGTGATAATGTTGTTATTGAAAATAATTGCAAAGTAATTTATCAAAAAGAGAAAATAATTTATGAAATATTTTAATTGTATATGTTACTTAAATCCTTTTTTTTTTTTTTTTTTTTTTTTTTTAGCTAATTGATTGTATTGTAAAAGAAAATAGTGTAATTGAAAAAGATGGTATTTTTGAAAAAGAAACCTTACCACTATTTATTTCACAATAATTTCTTTTTTTTTTTTTTTTTTTTTATTTAATTTTTTTTATTTATTACTTTCTATTTTAATTAATTTTGTTTTCACATAGAATCTTTTTTATTAATAATTTTTTCGGAGATGTTTTAACTTTTTGATATAGAAATTTTTTTTTTATTTTTTAATAGCTTTTTTTTTTTTTTATACATTTGATATTTTTGATTTTGTTTATTGATTGAAATAATAAAAAAAAAAATTTCATATATTATCTATTAAATTTGAACTTTTATTTTCTAAAAGTAAATATTAAAAAAATTATATACATATATATATATATATATATATATATATATATATATATATATATATATATATATATAATATATGATTTACTAAAATATTGTTAATTAAAAAATACATAATTTGAAGTAGTTTAATAAACATACATTAAAAAGTTATAATAAAAATAAAATTGTTATAATTTCAATCAAAGTAAAATAATCAAACATATTTAATAAAAATAATATATATGTTTATATTTTTTTTTTTTTTTGTACGTATATTTATGATGTAATTTCTTAAAGAGTTTCGATTAATTTAAAACAAAGTGAAATGTTTTTTATTAAAATTTGAAACACATTAGTGATAAAACTAAAATATTTTATTATTTATTTTTTTTTCTTTTTTATGTGATTTTTACTTTCAAGTTAATTTACAATATGGAGTCTGAGGAGAGTAAGAAAAAAGAACCAAAAAGTATATCCGAAAATAACGATAAAAAAAGAGTATATAAAAATGAAGAAATGAAAAGGTTTAAGAATTATACTTAGTAGAAAGAAAAAATATATATTTTAATATTATTAATAGTAGAATAATTTTTTTTTTAAAAATATTAAGAAAAAAAAATATACATATAGTGAAATTAATATAAAAAATCACTTTGAAATATTTTTTTGTAGTTTGAGAAATTCATAATACTTTTTTTTTTAACTTGTTTTATTATATATATATATATATATTTTATAAATATGAAAATTAAAAAATAATATATATCTTAATTTTATATATATATTGTGTAATGTTTAAAATTTTCTTAACGATTTTTATTTTGTTTTTTATATTTTAGATATTCAAAAGATAAGAGAAGTTCTTCTAGAACAAGAAGAAGTCGATCAAATTCTCATGGAATTAGGCGGAATTCATCAGATAATTATTCAAAAGGGAAATACATAAAGAAAAAAAGAAGAAAAGATAAAAGTTCTGAAAGCAGTCATAGTTCTTCTCCAATGTCATCTGAGAGTTCTAATGACAATTATAGTTCGGATGAATATAGGAGAAAAAAAAGAAAGAAAAAAAGGGAAAACAGATATGAAAGAAGTGAAAAAAGTGATAAAAGAAAAAAAAAAAAAAAATCAAGTAAATTAAATCCAAATTTATCAACTTCACATGAACGATCCAGGTCAAGAGAGAGAAAAAGAAGAAAATTACAAGCGGAATGTATTAAAAGGGCAGGTGGATTTAAAAAATTAGCTGATATGGAAGGGCATGAAACAACTAATGTTTTTTGGGATGGTTTTCAATGGGTAGCTAAAACCAATCAATCCAATTTGTTTCATTTAGATCCAGCTGTAATGAATTCTACAAGAAAATTGAGAAGATTGTATTTTGGAAATTTGCCATTGCATTTAGGATTAAGTGAAAATGCTTTTCAAGAAATTGTATGGAATGAAATGAAAAAAAGAAAATATTGTAATGATGAAAATATTAATCCTGTTTTATATGTTTGGTTTGCAAAAGATAAAGGTAATTATGGTTTCGTTGAATTTGCTACTGTTGAAGAAACAGAGAGAGCTCTTACTATGGATGGTATGTTATGCAAAGGTGTCGCTCTTAAAGTTTCAAGGCCAAATGATTATTCTACAAACACTGTTAAGCAAAATCAGAATTTATTACTTCAAAATATTAGTAAACAAAATAATAATATATTAAATGTCATGAATCCAACTAATATAAATAACTCTTATTCTAAACCACCTCCTCCACCTGGTGCTCCACCTTTATCTTTACTCAAAGATACACTAGAATCTAACTTAATGAATCAAGGAAATTTTTCCACCAAGTATTTGAGGGTTTTAGAAATTGTATCAAAAGAATCTATTAATGAAGAAGATTATACAACAATTTTAGAAGATATAAAAGATGGATTTCATAGTCAAGGAATAATTATTAACGCTATTTTGATTACTCCTAAGTATGCACAAAATACACCATTTGATATTGGAGATGTTATTATAGAATTTGAAAATCCTACTTCAGTTGATAATAGTATCATTAATATGTCAAATAGAAAATATGAAGGAAGGGTTATCAAAATGGAAAAATGTGATGAACATACATACAATACTTATGTAAAACCAATAATCAAAGATTTATATGAAAAAAAATTATTATAAAAAACATTAAGTTAAATTATATATATATATATATATATATATATATATATATATATATATATATATATATATATATAAATATATATATTTATATATATGTAATTTTGTATTTTCCTCATACACACATGTAAATAATGAAACAGACAATTGTTTGAATCATCTAAAATGATTCAATTTATAAGAAAGTATAAATGTTGTTTTAGAAATTTCTGTTTAAATATATATATTGAAGAAAAATATTATAGATCACTTTTTAAATGTTAATAAATGTAATGAAAATATAAGTTAAAGAAATCATTTTTAATATTGTTACACATTATTATAAAAATTATATATATATATATATAAAATAAATGTAGTTAGCTTTTAAAATAATTTTGATTTTTTTATTTTTTTATAAGTTAAATATTAAAACAAAAATTACATATTTGTGAATTTATAAAATATTAATATATAATATTACCTTTTTTCTAACTTTTTTTTTATATAAGAATTTTCTCTCTATCTATCTCTCTCTATATATATATATATATATATGCATTAAAACTTTATATTTTTTAAAAAAAAAATTTTTATTTATTTTGTATAAATTTAATTTTATCATTTATATTTTATTTTTTTTTTGATAAAAAAAAAAAATTTCATTTATCTATTTTAAATAAAAAATAACAAAATAAAGAAAATAAATTTTATATATTAAGATTATAAAATTAATAATAGATTTACTAAAAAACAAAAAGAAGTTAGTGTCTTATTTTATTTTATTTTTTTTTTTATGAATGAGACGAACAAAATTATATTAGGTTCTAATTTAAATGATATTAAGCATAAATATGTATATAAAGGGAGAAAATATAAAATGAACATATTATTTAGGTAATTCTTTTTCTATATTCTATAATTTATTAGTATTAAAAATATAGTATTTTATATAATATCTGGTCCACTGAAACATATAAAAATTAATTTTATTATAACTTTGAAAAATATGAATGAAAACAAGAGAACAGCATTATTAGAAAAAAAAAATGAAGAAATTTCAACTATTTTAAATAAAAATATTTTATTTAAATGTAATAATACTAATGATTTGAAAGAAACCTTTGTAAATATAAAAACAGATTACAGTTTAGAAAGTGAAAAAGAAAAAAGCAATATTTCTTTATTTAACGTTTTTAAAAAAAAATTAAAAGAGGAAAGATACTTTAGTAGATTTTTGATTATTTTTAAAATTTCAAATGATATAAATGAAAAAAAATATATTAATGAAACACTAAATTTTATACTAAAAGAAAATTATAAATTAATTACAGGAATTAGTCTTTTTGTAAATATATATTCTATTATGTTATTAGAATGTATTGATTCTAAATATATATTTTCTTTTTTAAAAAATTTAAATAACATAAAATATATCTCTGATATTGAAATTTTGTATTTTAATGAATTAAATAAACAAAATATAAATGATAGTTTTAATTTTTACGAGTACAATAAAGAAGAACCAAAATCTATTTGTTCAAATGAATGTAATTATATTGATGAAGTGAGGAATAAAAAAAAAAAAAAAAAATTAAACATTTATATAAAATACGTAAATATATATATATGTACATTTTTTCACATATAAATTTCTCTTAATTTCTTTATTTATATAAGTTATTTTAAAATTTCATAAATGTAAAGAATTTCAATATTTTCTATAAATTTTTTTTTATTTTAATTTTATAAACATCATATATTTATAGGTGTGGGAATTATACATAAATATTTTAAATCTATGTTGCCACATAAAAAATAATAAAGATAAGCAAAATATTTTTGATCAAAATGATAATATTAAAAAAAATTTCTCTTTACTTGAAAATTTTTTTCATGAAAATGCAAAACAATATATATGGAATTTAAAAGGTAATTAATTAAAAATATAAAATAATTTATGAAATTTTTTTTTAAGCATTTTTCTGTATTTTTCATAGATTTCATATCTTTTTTTGTTGAAGATTTTAAATTACCAATTGATGATTTTTCTGATGACTTCTTAGATTTCTAAAAATGAATTATATTTTTTTAATATATTTTTTTTTTGTATAATCACATATATTTTTTATTTATATTTCAAAAATGTCTTTTTTATTAAATCATTTAAATTATATTTTTTTAAAACTATAAATTAATATTGTAAAACCTGAAAGTAAAATATACTAATATTCTAAATTGAGTAAAATGTTGTATTTATATTTTATCTTATTTTTTTTGTAGTTCTGTATTTCTTTTTTTTTTTTTTTCTTTTGTTAATTTTAATATTTAAATTTTACATATATAAGAAGTGTTTATTTTCTTTTTTTTTTTTTTTTTTTTTTTTTTTTTTTTTTTTTCTTCTATTAATAATTTTTATTTTTTTCGTTCCACATAAAAAAATAGAATTCATTTTATTTTTTTTTTTAATTTACACATAACTATTTATTTTTTTTTCCTAAAAATTATTTCTAAAAATATTAATATAATGAAATATTTGTTTATTCTTATGTTAATAAGAAATTAATAATTTATAATTTTTTTTTTTATTTAATTATCTGTTATGTTACTAAAAGAATTAAAATAGTTGAATTATGATATTATTTTTTTTAATATTATAATAAAAAAAATAAAAAAAAAACAAAAAGCAATGCAACAGTTTCTTGATTTCTTTTTTTTACTAAAACAATGAAAATATTATTTAATTTGCATAAAAAAAAAAAAAAAAAAAATAAGAAAGAATAATGGTTTGAGAAGTCTATATTGTAATAAAAAATATAAATAATGAAAATAAATATTATGTAATATTTATGCTTTTTAATATATAAGACTTTATAAAAAAAGAAGATAATATATATATATATATATATATATATAAAAAAATAAAATATAAAAAATTTAAAATGTAGAATATTTTAAATTATATAAAACTTCATTCAACAAAGTTTTAGAAATATAACGATTTAATTTCACATTATTTATAAAATTAGAAAAAAAAAATTTCAAAAAGAGTATATTTCATTAAGGTAATATTGCACGTGTGTATAACTATTATTTTAAAAAACGAAGTTAGAAATAAAAAACAGATGATTCATATATGAAAACCTTTATAAATATATATATATATGAGAATAAATTATTACATGATAATATATGAAAGCATCTTTTCCTTTTACTAAGTGTTTTGAATTGAATTAAAAAAAAAAAAAAAAGGATAAACAAAAGCAGTAATGGTTTATTATACAAGATTATTTTTCCGCATAAAATATAAAGTAGATGAAGATGAAAAAGTATATGTTATTGGGAATATATTAGAATTAGGTAAGAAATACTAAATTTCTATTACAACTGTGTACATTTTTAATATTATATTTATATATTTATTTATTTATTTATATATTTATTTATTTATATATTTATTTATATATTTATTTATTTATATATTTATTTATTTATTTATTTATTTTTTTTTTTTATAAAGGACAATGGGATCCTTATAAAGCAATAGAAATGGTACCTTTTGATGAAGATAATATTTACAATTTATTTTATACAATAAATCCTATATATGTAAAATTAAAAGAAGAAATAGAATATAATTACATAAAAATAAATAGTAAAAATGAAGTAATTTGGTGTGAAAAGAAAAATAAAACTATTACTGCTACTGGATATGATATGTTCATTGAAGATGATGAAGGATTATATCGATCATTGCATAATTCTTTTAATACAATTGATCATAATATATTAAAACATGAAGATAATTTAGAGAAGAAGTTAAAATTAATTCATGATTTAGGTAGTAAACATAAATTAGACGAACATTCTAGAATTTTTATGTGTTTTTTCAAATTACCATTGCTTGTGAAAATAGAAGATGAAGAAATAATTTTAGAAAAGAATAAAAATTCCATGTTATCCATACTATTTGAGCAAAAAAGCAAAATAAGTGAAAAGTTATTTTTTATTGGATATCCTGGTATATATGTAGAATGTGAAGAATTAAAAAAAAAAATAATAGAAAGATTAGACAAAGAAAATTGTATTCCTATATTCTTACCAAAAAAAGAAACAAAAAAGTTTAATAAATATTGTGGAGAAAATTTACTATTTTTATTTCATAATATTTTTGATATTTATAAACAAGAATCGTTTGATACTGAAGGATGGCAAAATTATAAACTCATAAATAAAATATTTTATGATTCAATGATAAAATATGTAGAAACTTCTGATTATGTTTGGATAAATAGTTATCAATTATTATTACTACCCAGTTATTTATCTAAAAAAAGTTATAAAATACCAACTGCATTTTTTTTTCATATTCCTTTTCCATCTTCAGAAATATACCGATTATTACCACAAAGAGAAGAAATTTTAAGGTCATTATTGTCTTGTGATTTGATTGGTTTCAATACATTCGAATATGCTAGACATTTTTTAGTTAGCTCAAAAAGATTATTAAATTTGGATTTCTATTTCAAATTAGGAGGAGTATTAACAATAACATACTGCCATAGAGATATAGTTGTTAAAATATTACACGAACAAATTGAACCATCTATAATAACTAACCTTTTAAATAATTCAAATGACGTCGATAAAAATATTAAATTACTTAAAGATATTACTGATAAGAAATATACATTTGGGTGTTATGAGAGAGGAAATATATTTAATGGTTTACTTTTTAAAATTAAAGCTTTTAATTATTTTTTAGAAAATTATGAATATGCTAGAGGAAATGTTATATTAGTTCAATATATTTCTGCTAATTCTTTAAGATCTCCTAAAACTGATTTGATTTTTAAAGAAGTACAAGACTTAGTCAATGAGATAAATAAAAAATATCATACCTATTTAAAAAATAAGAAAACAAATTTTAATGATAAAGGAAACTTTTTAAACGAAAATGATGATGAACTAGATATAAACAGTAATAGTAATTATAGTTTTTGTAATAATATTAGTACTTATAATGATGATGTTACTATTGGTAGTTATAAAGATTATATCATAAATAATTGTAATGAATTAATTAATAATACTGCTAATAATAATACTGCTAGTAATAATGCTAGTAATAATGCTAGTAATAATGCTTGTAATACTGCTAATAATACTTCTAATAATTCTAAATGCTTAGAAAATATGAAACGTCTAAATGAAGATGGAAATTTTCATTTTTGTGCGGAAAATATTCCTGATGAATTAAATAAGAAAACTTTAAAAAAATGTAATACAAAAAGTAGTGACGATTTGAAGAAATTAGATGAAGAGAAAATATATTTAGAGAAAAAAAATTATAAGAGGAAAGGCATAATTTTTAATTGTAAAAATATTTATTTTAATAATAAAAAAAAACATTTTAGTTTATACAAAATGTTAAATTCAAAGGATTCAAATTATACACATAATTGTTTTATAACTCATTTAAAATTTAATATTAGTAATAAAGAGAAATATAAATGTAGTAATAACAATAAAAAATATAATGAGGAAGAAAATAAAAAATGGGATTTAAATGATGATGAAAAACATATTATTTTAAAAATAAGTGAATTAAACTTGGAATCAAAATATTTCTTATTTCAATGTTTTGATTGTTTTTTAGATACCTCTATTAGAGACAATTTTAATTTAAATCCTTTTGAATATATTGTATGTAAACAGTATAGTAACAATGCTAATGATAATAATATTAATAAAAAAAAGAAGAATCTTATCCTATCTGAAATGAGTAGTTGTAGTTCTATATTATCATCTCCAATTAGAATAAATCCATGGAATATAGAAAAAGTTGCAGAAGCAATGGATCAGGTAATCAATTTTAATAAAAATAAAAGAAAACAATTTAAAATTGATGCTTTATATGTAGAAAAATTAAGTACAACTAAGTGGTGTTTAGGGTTCTTAAGCGAATTAAAAAATTGTAGAAAGGAAGATAATAAATTATATGTTTCTTGGGGATTTGGAAATACACAAAGGTTACTTGAATTTGATAGAAACTTTAAATATTTGAATACAAACTTGGTGATACATAATTTTAAAAAATCAAAAAAAAGATTAATTTTATTAGATTGTGAAGGGACTTTATTACCGGATTACAGAAATGTTCATCTATTTGGAGAAGAGTTAAGTGCTATAGGAATACCACCAAGTGAAGACATAATTAAATGTCTTAATCAAATTATTGAAGATAAAAATAATACAGTTATTGTATTATCAGGTAGAGATAAAAATATATTGGACTCATGGTTTAAAGGTGTCCCAAAAATTAATTTATGTGCAGAACTTGGATTTTATTACAAAAATTATGAAATTACAGGAGGAAATTGGAGACAAACATTGAAACAGAATGATTTTACTTGGAAAATAATTGTCTCAAAATTAATGAAAGAATATGCAAAAAGAACTCAAGGAGCCATTATATGTAATAAAGGAAGCTCTTTAGTATTTCAATACAGAAATGCTGATCCTCACTTCGGTAGTATGCAAGCGAAAGAATTGCACACTTATTTAAAAGACTTTTTAATTGGTTATCCTGTTAGTATTGTTAATGGAAAAGGTTATTTAGAGGTGAAATTAAATAATATAGATAAAGGGAAAATTGTAATTCATATATTAAGTCTTTATGAATATCTTGGATACACATTTGATAGTATTTTATGTATTGGAGATGATATATCCGATGAAGATATGTTTAGAGCTTTAAAATCATGGAAAAAAAATTTACAGGAAGGAGAAAAAAATTCTGAATCGGAAAACAATAAAAATGTTCAAGTATAAAAAAAAAAAAAAAAAAACCCATAAATATTTACAGGATTATATAAATACTAGTTTATACATATATATGTTTATTATATTTTTTTTTTCATAGAAAAGTAATCCATCATTATTTACTTGTACTGTTGGAATGAAACCTTCAGATGCACAGTAAGGATTTTTTTTAAAAAATAAAGTTTTATAATTATGAAATATAGTAAAATTAGTATACAATGAAATATTTAATATTATAAATTATTTATTATGTTTCACCTTTTTTTTTTTTTTTTTTTTTTTTTTAAATCAGGTATTATTTAAATGATACAGAAGAGGTTTATGATTTATTAAAAAATTTAGCTAGCTTATAACCATCTTTGTATATTTTATTTTTTCGTTAAATGATGTGAAAAATGAAATTATATGTAAAAATAGCTTAACTTTAATTTAGATTTTATTTTTTTTTTTATGTGTTTTCTATATATTCTTTATATTGCAATTTTTTTAGTAAATTTATATTTTGTAGTTTGTTATATTTATTCCAAGATTAAATTAAATATGTCCACATATATGTGGGAAAATTTAATATAAAATAAATTTATATAAAAAAATATTTTACTCTATATTAATCATATATACATATATATACATATATATATATATATATATATATATATATATATATATATATATATATATATATATATATATATATATATTTTTCAAAATAATATTATTATTTATTTTATATGACCATATTTTACATAAAATTATATTCATTTTATATTTAATACTCTACATGTTACATTTATTTCAAATTGTAAAGGAAAAAAATTATATAATACATTTTAATTTATATTATTATAGTTTACATTTATTAATCATAGTAAAAAATATATTTCTTATTTGTATACATAAAATATAGCGGATGTAAAATTACATGTTTTGCATTCACTGTATTTTAGTAGAAATATTAGATTTTTTTTTTTTTTTTTTTTTTTTTATTATGAGTAACCTTGCTGTTATTCTTTTTGATTTTAATACTATGAAATTTTATTATTTAAAATTTTTTTGTGATTATACATATTCTTTTAATTTGTATTAATATTGTATATGCATTATATATATATATATATATACTTTAATTTTAAACATAGAATAAAAACTTTTTTTACGTTTTAAACAATTTGTTTTGTAATTTAAAAATTGTATTTTTTATCTATATATAAACTTTTTTTTCTATTATTTTTTACTTATTGTAATAACAATATATGAATAAATAATATATATACTAAGAATAAGGGGTATCCACATACTAATTATTTTTGTAATTTATAATTTGATGATATTTTGTTAATTAAATCATTGCTTATATTTATATCTAAAGCTGTTTTAATTAATAAATCTAATTCTACATGTTTTGATAATATTTTTAATCTGTTTAGGATATCTTCAAAAGATTCAGTTAAAATTATATCTTCTTGTAATTTAAAAAATGCAAGAGCAACTTTAAAAAGAAAGATATAATTATGTATAAAAAAAAAATCCCATATTCTAATAGCATATAAAATGTTAATATTATATGAAAAAAGAGTTATAAACCATTGAGATGCATACATACTTGAATGAATATTTTCTTTTTGTAAATGATTATGTATCTTTGGAAAATAGAATAATAATAATTGATCTAATATATATAGATATTCATTTAATAAAGGCATATTAGATGAAAATAAACCATTTAATTTATATTTGTCTAATAAACTTATCAACATAAAAAAAGCATCTTCCTCATTCATGTATAAAATAAATGTGGCAACAATAAAGGCCATTCCTTGACAGTAACCTAAATCACTATTATAATTGCTATATGCTTTTAAAACATTAAATAATATTTTTTGTCCTTTTTCATAATTATTTTTAAATAAAATATGTTTCGGATAGGTCCTGTTAATATCTTTTTTAATTGTATTTTCATATTTATTATTTATACTTAAGTAGTGTTCATATCTCTTTATTTCATTATTTTCTTTATACATATATGACTGCACTAATATTTGCCATGCAAATCCTCTTATATGATCAGGAATCCCCTTAATTACTTCATCTTTTATAATACTGTTTATTTTCCTATTATATTCAACATAATATTTTTTTTTTTTTTCCAAAGGCATCATAATAAACATATTTTTTATATAATTAGAACTATTTGTAAGTAGTTCATCAATGTAATTATTACTTGATAAATTGTAAAAGTTGGTAAAATTTTTATCCATTTTAATATTTTTAAAGTCTTCCTTTTTTAAATTGGTGATATGTGAATTAACATAATAATTATCATAGGAAGTATTTAGATGTATTTTGTTATTCATTTTTGTTTGTGTTTTATCATTTGGATTTTTAGTTTCTATTTTTTCTTTCTTTATGCTATATACACACTTTACATTTTTATAAGGCTCTTTTTCTATTTTTACTTTATCACTATTACAGTTTTTGTAATCATCATTGCCTTTATCATTTTTGATTAAATACTTTCTTGTTCTTCTGTCGTTTGAATTCTTATTAGAGAAACCTAAATCATTTGTCTTTTTATTTTTGTCATTTTTATCATCGTAGTAATACTCATAAAAATTATTAAAATTAAAATTGGTTTGATTTAAATTTTTCCAATATTTTGATTTTTTTTTTAGATTATCTTCATTTACTTTAATATCCTTTTTATTATCGTTGTAAATGTTTTTAAAGAGAAGAAAATTTTCTTTTTTATTACATTTTTTATTTTCATAATTTACATTATTATAAAATTCACATTTTTCATCATTATAATCTTCAATTGTAATAGAATTATCATTTTTATTGCTATGTGTGTTTATTTTATAATTATCATTATTTGCTTTATTGTTATTACTATCTATGTTATTATCGTTATAAATGTTTATTTTATCAATATTATTTTGAATATCCATTTTGTCATGAATATTATCATCACTCTCATTATAAATGTTTTTAATATTTTTGTTAAAGATATGGAAATTATTAGAGTCTCCAATTAAACATGTATTTTTATTTTCACTAATAGAATCATTTCTATGATTTTTTTTTGAAATATTTATTGAATTATTATCAATAACTATTTTGTAATCATTGGGTTCTCTTATATTCTCTGAAAAGTTTTTACTGTTATTAGATATATATGCATTTGAACTGCTTTTAACTAAAGAATATTTATTTACATTTATGACCTTATTTAGATTACCTTCTATTGTACTATAAATCCCATCATTTCTCAAGTTAACATCACTATCATAATACAAAAAGGAATTTAAAAAAGGAGATAATTTGTTTTTATTTACGTTAGTTATGTTTATAACTAAATCTTTATCATCATTTTTTTTTTTTATATATTTTTTTTTTTCATCTATTTTTCTCTTTGTACATTCTCCTTTTTGCATTTTAGAAGTTTCTGTTATTATCATTTCATTCTGAATTAATTTCTTTAAATAAAAAAGTTTTAGTTTTTCTTCATAAATGTATTTCCATATTTCAATTTTTCTAATGTCTGAAACGAAGTTAAGGATATTTTCATTTATATCCTTCATTTATTTACAGTTAATTTTGTATACATAACATAATTTCTTTAATAAGACAAGATTAAAAAAATATAAACAATTTAAAAGGAAGCATAATCAAATTTTTTTTTTTAATTCAAAAATTAATTTAAATTAAAAATAAAAAGAATTGGATATTAAAAAAAAAAAAAAAAAAAAAAAATTAAAAGGCATTCTTTTATAATTTATTTAAAAAAAAAATTTTGTATGTTATATTTTTGATTTGATGTATGCAATAAAATATATTTATTCTACGTGTTATTTTTTTTTTTTTTTTTTCACTTAACTCCTAATAAAAAGAAATAAAAAAATTATTTAAGAAAAGTTACAAATAAAAAGATTAAAAAAAAAAAAAAATATTAAAAAAAGGATAAAGAGCGAAAAGAAGAAATAAAAGATTTAATAATATTAAGCATTTTAAAAAGAATATTTTTAAGTCATATGTTACTTTATATAAAATATTTTATTACATTTTGTTTTCATCTTTTTTGGATGGTTGCCATATTAAAAGAAAATTACTTGCTACAAAAAAAAAAAAAAAAAATAAAATAATAAAAGAAAATGAAAAAAAAAAAATAAAATAATAAAAGAAAATGAAAAAAAAAAATTATAGTAAAAAGATAAAAAGTTAATATAAAAATAAAATATATTAAAAAAAAATCATACATTGAAAATTATTAATATATATAATAAAATTCTTTTTTTTTTTTTAATAATTAATAAAAATGAAATAAAAGAATTTACTTGTTATAAATGCAACTCTATTATAAATCCATTTAACAAACATAATATTGTTTCCAATTTTTTTTTTGCACACGTAATTTCCTTTTATACTCCACACATGTAAGTAGCCATCTTTTCCACCTTAAAAAAAAAAAATACATTAATACAAAAAAAAAAAAAAAAAAAAAAAAAAAAAAAAAAAAAAAAAAAAAAAAAAAAAAAAAAATAAATAAAAGTAAAATAAAAGAAAATAAAATAAATAGTTACCTGATAGTATAAAATTTGAATCAAATGAATAAATTGGATATGATAAAAAGAAAGATAAATGAGACATATTACTTTCGTAAATATAATTATAGGCATATAATATATCTCCAGTGTATGCATCTAATGTGTATATATAATTATATTTGGTAGCTATAAGCATTTTTTTTTCATCAAAAGAAAAGTCAATGTGGGTACAAAAATTGTTATTATTTGTTATTTTTGAAATATCAAAATTGGCAAAATATTCATCATTATAATCATCTCCAAAACAACTACATAAATATATTGTATCAACATTAAAGGTGTAAGCATATATTATGCCAGTTTTGTTATAGCTAGCTATGCAATTTTCATTTTGAATATTTGTTTTATAAATTGTTGTTTTATCTTTAATGTGATAAACTAACAATTCTTTACTTCTTAAGGTAACAATAAAAATATGAGTATTTGGGTGCAACACAAAACTATTATCAACAATTTCATTTGAAAATTCAAATATGTGTATTATTTTTTTATTTATTATATTAAAATGATATATTTTGCATTTTTGATTATTTTCATATACTGCAAATAAACACTCTTCTACGTCGTAATCTACAATAGAACCACTTTTTTCTTTGAATCTTTTCAATAATTTAATATCGTTAATAACTACATCTTCAATACGGTAAGTTAGTTTTTCTTTTCTTTCATTCAAATCATATATTTTAATAATATTTTTTGTATTGGTTGTAGCAATGATATTATTTAATAAATCTATACTTGATATATATCCTTCATTTTCAAAAGCTGCATATATATCAAACCTTAAAAAAAATTAAAATAAAAAAATTAATAAATAAATATAATGTGAAATTAAAAATTTTTTTTTCTTTGCTCTTTATTCTTTTTTTTTTTTTTTTTTTTTACTCATTGATACAGATATTATTTACTGTAGCTTCTTCATTCATTCTTTTAGATATAAAATTAAAAATTAGAAAAATAAATATATAAACGTATATGTATATATTTTTTTTTTTGAGAAATATAGTACTATAATTTCTTATAAGAGCAATCTTTCATTTATTCATATTACACTTAATATTCTTTGTTGTAAATAGTTCTTAGTAGTTTTTTTTTCTTTATCCATTTTACTTAATTTTTTTACATACATTTTTCATTATGCACTTTATTTTAAATCTACCATTCTTTTATTTTATTTTTTTTATATAGAAAAAAAACTTATTCTATGATAAATTTACATAGTGTTCTGATAAAAAAAAAAAAAAAAAAAAAAAAA